ATCCTGAGGATATAGGATCCCATTTCAGAAACGTCCCCGCATTATCTCCGTGGGAAGTCTGAAAAATTGCCTCCCACTCCCCGCGCCTTGGAGCCCACGATTGCGCACAGCCATCACAGAGCCCATTCCTGCCGATGCAAAAGGCAGGCTCCAGCCGATCCCGGCGGCTTCGTCTCTGACTCGGTGGAAATCTGAAAATCTCCTTGTGGCGAACGAGGTTAGGAGAGCCTGCCTCCCCGCCGGCCCCCTCCCTGCGGCCCCCCAGCCCAGGGCTGTGGCTGCAGGATGTGTCTGAAGGAACAAGTAATCGGGGGAAAATAAGTTGGAAGAATAAGTGTTCGCCAGCAGAACAGAGGGGAAATGAAACATCGAGGAGCTGAAAAATGCAAGGTAATGCGGGTGGAACCATTAAAAATGCCGGCTCGTCTCGGCCCGAGAGCAGAGCTGCAGGGGCTGGAGTGTGTAGGCTTCTGCAGAGATCCAGGCTCAATTCACAAATGGCAACGCACGCGGAATCCAAAGTGACCTCTCCCATTACTGTCACCCGGAGATTCTATTAATCCAGGGCCTGTTTACTCTGGAATTAGCCCCCAGGCCGGAGGCTGGAGTAACGGGAGACTAATGGGCCCACAATCACCTTTACTTTCCCAGTCAGACTTCTCCCGATCTATTTTTATTGCACGCGCACAGGAAGATGCCAAAGCGGCAGTATTTCTGGCTTGTTAATGATCAGGCTCCATCTCCCCAATCATGGGCTCTGCAAAATGAAAATCAAATTGGCAAGAAGCAACGCAAGCAGGGAAGTCAGACCCGCTATTCCTATCTCAGACCCGAGAAAGTCAAGTTTTTAATCAGCAGTCAACTCCGCAGTCTTTGGAGTTGGTTTAAACTAAGTCAGCAACTCTGATTCTTTTATTTGAAGAACAAATAGCAAGATAAAATCCCTAAGCCCTAGAAATACACCATCATCACTTGCCACCAAAAGATTTTAAATTCCTCAATTCAAAAATGCTAACAGTCTTTTTTTTCCTGTCTCTCTTTCTCAATCCCTCCCCTTCATGCTTCCCTGCTTCTCTCTCTCTCTCTCTCTCTCTCTCTCTCTCTCTCTCTCTCTCTCTCTCTCTCTATCTCCTCCCCCCCTTTCTCTCTCCTTTCTTTCTTCCTTTCCTCTCTCTAGCCCTATATTCTGAGGAATTGAGAATATTCTTAGAAAACATTGGACCTTGGAGATCAATAACTCCACACAAGTAAGTCCTAGAGCTGCCATTTTGTGGGCGAGTAGCTGTGCACAAGTAACCTGACCTCTTTCTCCTCAGCCTCCTCACTGTAAAATGGATATAATGATGCTAATCTCACAAATCTGTGAGGTTGTTGTTGTTGTTGTTTTAAACTTTTTTCTTGATTTCAAAGGGTGAGGAAGAGGGAAAGAGAAATAAAAACATCAATAATGAGAAAGAATCCTGGATCGATCGGCTGCCTTTTGCACACCCCCTACTGGGGATTAAACCCAGAATCCAGGCGTGTGCCCGGACCAGGAATTTAACGCTGACCTCCTGGTTCATAGGTTGATGCTCAACCATTGAGCCACACTGGCCAGGCAAAGTTTTTAAAAGAATCACACAAGTAAAGGCAGCTAGCACAGTGCCCAGGTATACTTGTATTACTCAAGACTCTTGATTACAAAAACAACTCAAACAGGTTTATTCAAACAAAATAATTCATTGTCAGGCAGCCATGGGAAGCCCAGGGATGGCCACCTTCAGGTCAGGGGCTCCACAGGGTCGGCTGGGGCCTTCCTCTCTATCTCCATGGGAGCCCCTCCCGGCAAAGATGGCCATGATGGCCCTGGAGCCACGTGGTCCCTGCGGGGCCAGCAGGGCTTCCTCTGCAGTGGCTGCTGGGGAGAGAGATGGAGGGCCCAGTCCTAGGACCTCACGCTCTCACTCCTGACTCCCCAGATCACCGAGCAGACAATGGGACTCGGGGAGGGACTGCCACCGCCCCTCCCTGTCGGCACCATAGTTCTGCTGCCCCATGCTGCCTCCTCCTGTTATTTTAAATCAGTGCCCCGGGGGGAGACGGGGGCCGTCCCCTCGGAAGTGACGCACGGCTTGCGCTTCCCAGACTAGCATCTTGGCGTGGAGACAGAGCTCCTGCGTGGGGGCCGCCCTGTCTCGGTTCTCATTGGCCGTTTCCCAGGCAGCGCCGGTGAGGACAGAGCGCCGGCTCAGCATCCCGGTCCCCACGCCTCCTGCCTTAATTTCCAAGTCACAGCAGCGAGCCAGGTGCTTCTGCTCCCCGCGAAGGCGGAGGCTGCGGGGAGCCCTTCCTAGGGGCGCCCGGTGCACTTCACACCACTTAAAAGCCTCTGCCCGAGCCGCAGGCAGCGCGTCACCAGCACAGCCCTTCCCGAAAAGGACCAGACACACCGGTAATGAGTGTGGGCGCCTCTTTCCGAAAGGCCAGCATCCCCGGAACCCCCCTGCCCGAGCCATCCGCAGCCAGGCAGCCCGAGGCGGGCCAGCGGCCTCCCCCAGCACCAGCCTTCTCAGAGCCCCCAGACCCAGACACACACCCGCAGCTGCACGTATTCGCTCATGTCTGAGTGTTGCATACATGGCCCGGTAGGCAGTCCTCTAAAGTCGCCACATTTTGGAAGAACGAGCAAGGTCAGGCCCGCGGTGGTCTCTGTCCAGCGGTCACATCCCACGATCCACATGGCCCTTCCATGGTGCGGGCGTTTCCGGTGATTGAAGCCAGTGCGGTTCATTTTCTCTTTCAGGCCTTTTCTGCATCATCCCCTCCACCCGAGCAGGTGTCCTGGCTGCTCCACGGGTGAGTTTTCTAAAATTATCACCCAGTGCCAAAACTGGTTTGGCTCAGTGGACAGAGCTTCGGCCTGTGGACTGGAAAGTCCCAGGTTCAATTCCGGTCAAGAGTATGTACCTTGATTTCGGGCACATCCCCAGTAGGGGGTGTGCAGGAGGCAGCGGATCGATGTTTCTAACTATTGATATTTACCACTCTCTCTTCCTCTCTGTTAAAAATCAATAACATATATTAAAATAAAATAAAATTGTCACCAAGTAAGCAAGCTCTTGCCTCCTTGGAGATGCCGTCCGGGCGATGATGATGCCAGCAATGCTGAGAATAGCGCACAGAGACCCATGGCACCGGCCCCTGGTCCTGAGGGCCCCCCTTCCTTGCTCCAGACCGCCCCCTAGAGGCCCTCACCGGTCCACACCCACCGGGACCGCACCAGCCAGGGCCAAGGCCGCCTCTTGGCTCCGATCTTTCCAGGAACCAGGGGCTGAGAAAATCAATTGTGTTAATGGGGAGCCCTCCACGGAGATGCTCTCCGAAGAGAAGACTGTGTGTAAAACACTGACCGTGGCAAGTTCCCAGCGTGTTTCTTCTGTTCCGTGGCCCCGGCCCGTTTGTCCGGAGTCCGGGGGCTTTAAACCGCACAAGGTTTTACGGGATCCTTACCAAATCCCCTCTTCTCCCCGAGGCAGGGCAGGGGGATTAGGTTTGACTGCTGCAGACAGCTTTGTTGTAAACGGTCTCGTGTCACAAACGTAGCCGGGAAGGAGGCTTATATACACGCATCTCTTGGGCTGCAAATCACTGGAAGCAAAACCACGTCGTGCTCATCTGTTGAACATGGAAGGTAAGTGTTTGGATGTTCCAAGGGCGATGCAAATGATTACCGGTGTTCCCGTGCCCAGAGGAGGCGGGCTGGTCTCCGGGACACACTGGGAGGCCAGGGAAGTCCGAGGGAGGTGAGGACACCAGGCTGGGCCTGTCCACCACTTCTGCCAAAGTCCTTCCCGGGAGCCAGCGTCTGGAGGATGGGATGGGATTTGTTAATACACGACGGGAACCCCAGAGGCACCTGGCCCACCTGCTGCCAGGTGGTCGTCCGGCAGGTGGAGAAGGCAGGTGCCCACGCAGTACCAGGCTGGCTGGCCCAGCCCAGCTCCTCACCTGTGCTCCTTGCACACCTGGCGGGCTCCTTGGGGTGGCACAATGCTGACGTTGCTTTAACAACAGGAAGGGGAGTGTGTGGTGTGATGGGACAGGGGACGAGGCATGGGGGAGCTTTGGGAAAACAACTTTTTGAGTTTTTGAAATTTATTCCCAAGGAGGGGAGAATTTGCCAGGAAGTGCCAGAAATGTGGGTTTTAGTTCTGCTCGCTGGAGAGCCCGAGATACCACATCTCAGAGTCTCAGGCTTTAACAGGTCTTGTCCTTGGGCCACGATGGCTCTGAGACCTCACTTTGGCTCCAGAACCTGGAACCCCTCGGGAAGGCATCTGCAGCGTCCAATCCCCCCAAACAGGCAACTGGGTCCCTGCAGCAGGGCCAGACCCAGGCACCTCCTCACCTGGATGCCACAGTCCCCTTTCCCTTCCTCACTCACCGCCCGGACATCACATCCTCCACCTCCCAGCCCTTGGGTCACCAAGCTGCCTCTCTGTCCTGCCCTGGGGATCAGAGGCAAACACCAGCCAGCCTCTCCTTATTCATAGCTCAGGGGTTCGTGTGAAAACACCGTCCAGATAAAGAGAAAAGTACTATTTATGCAGTCCCTGTGAAACTGCGCCACCACACACGTGTCAGGACACCCAGCAGGCATCCTGATTCCATTTTGCTGTTATTTTCCTCTGTGAGGCTGCACAGAGCCTGGTCAGCCCGGGCGCCGCACTGCGCATGCTCCGACCCCAAGGTGCTCAGGGCCGGGAGGCGGTGCCCGCGCTCGGCCCCGCCCCTGCCTGCGCAGCATTGGTTTTCTCTGTCCAGGCCCCGCCCCCGAGCGCACCAATCCCATTTCCAGCGAGCCCAGGCCCCGCCCCCGCGCTCCAATTCCTGCGAGTGCAGGCCCCGCCCCCGGCCCCGCCCCCGCGCCCCGGACATGCCCAGGCAGCCCTGGCGCCCAGAACTCCTTGCCCCCTGCACTGCCAGCTGCTGGAGGTCGGCGCCCTGGGTTTGCGGTGAGTGTCCGGGTGGCTTCCCTCCTGCCCAAGTGCAGGGCTCGCCCTGAGGAGGGCGGCGTCTGCTGCCCGTGGACACGTGGGACAGTCCAGACCCCAGTGGCCCTGCAGGCTCTCTCATCTCACTGGCCCGGTGGTGCCCGCCCTGCCCCCACCCACCCGCAGGGGCCCAGGTAGGCTCAGGTGTGCTCAGGTGTGCACAGGTGCGCACACTGTGTCTGGCTTGCCCTGGGTATTGTGTCCAGGACCAAGTCGCACTGCAGTGACAGAGGCTTGGTGTGGGCGCCTGGTGGTCCCTGCACTACTTCCAGGTGGCCAACACCTTCACGCCATCACTGCCCACGTCCCGCCCTGCCCTGCCCTGCCCACCAGCGCCAAGGGGGCCTCCACTCCCCTTTAGTTCCCAAGAATCTTCCAGAAGCCCCTCCTCGGGCCTCTCCTTGCCTCAAGGCCCCAGCACACTCCTTGTGCAGAATTCCAGGCTCTGTCTTGTTAGAGGCCGGTGGAGAGGACCAGGTGAGTTCCTGGTTACCGAGCTGGGGCTTGTATACGCCACACCCCATGGCCTCCACGGACACCTGGCGTAGACAGGCGGCCTCTGAGAGCCGTGCACCCCGGCCCCATCATTCCCAAGTCCGGATACTGCAGGACAGCATCCTACCCCTCACACGCCTCACGCCGGGCTTCTAACTGTCCAATCTCAGCCCAGGAGCTGCTCTCTGACCTGGGAACACAGTGTGTGTGAGCACAGCTCTGCTTGGTTGGGTCGTCCGTTACCCACGAGGGCCACCCGTTATCCGCGAGGGCCCCCCGTTATCTGCGAGGGGCCCCCGTTATCCGCGAGGGCCACCCGTTATCCGCGAGGGCCCCCCGTTATCCGCGAGGGCCCCCGTTATCCACCAGGGCCACCGCTGGGGGAGGTGGAAGGTGAAGCTGCTGAAGCAAAGCGCCTGGTTCTCCCCAGGGAACCCAGGAGTCTGAGCGAGGCTCCCCGCCCCGTCCCCGGACAGAAGACCGGTTCTCCTGCATCCTCGGTGGATTGAACTGGGGGTGGGAACCTTTTATCTGCAAAGGGCCTGGGGCCATGTATAGTGTCATCCACGGGCCGCACGAAAGGATCAGCTTAGAAGTTAGCCGGCTCTTCTTGGTCAGCCATTTCATCACCTCCCCCCTAATGCCTGGGCAGGCCGGACGTCCCCCACCCCTGGGTTACACAGGCGGAGGTGAGAAAGTTACCGAGCAGCCTGTGGCACCGTGGGGCGTGGAGGGTAGACCTGCGCCCAGGCGGTGGGCGCCCTGGGTTAACGCCCATGGCATCGCCGTGGGGCAGTTCCCCGCAGGCCCACTCGGGCTGAGGCCCAGGGTTTGCCAGCTGCCGAGGGCTGCCCTGCCGCCTCGCTTCCTGGCTCTGCGCTTGGCTAGCACGGGACAGCAGGCTGCACTGTGACCGTGGGGCTGGGTGAACCAGGCCTCGGCACAGCCTCCTCGCCCGCCCGCCTTCCCTGTGGACGAAGGAGCCAGATGTCACTCTCGTTACTCACTGTGTTAAAAGGCTTCGCCCTCGGAGCCGGCTGACCCTCCGGTAGCGCCTCATTCCTGTCCTGCTGCTGGGACCCTCAGACCTTCCTTGTTCTCTCTGGGGCCTGACGGGCCTCCCGGGGCCTGGTCTGCCCCTTGGGCCCCACGTTCCCCGCGCCTGTCCTTCCTGCACACGGAGGAACCGGCCTGCGGGCCTTCCTGCCATTTCTCCTCCAGCCTTTTCTCCGGAACCCAGCGCAGCTCACCCTTCTCAGTATTTTTAATAATATACACTTACCAAACTAGGTTTTATGTTTCTTATTGTACTGCGGGAAGCTGCCCATGGCCTTCACCAGCTGAGAGGTGTGGACACGGAACCCGTAGGCTGGAGACCTGGAGCTCTGAAAGGTCCAGCGGAGACAATGGGAGCTGAAGCTACTTCCACCTTTTAGTCCCACGTAAATCCTGGCTGATGGGCTGTCGTAGCTGTTACTGGAATGGCCTGCCTAAGGGCTATGGGTGGATCCCAAACCGGAATAAAAGGAATCTTAAGGCCAGAGCAAATCGGAGTCCTTCCTCTTGAGCTGGGCTCCCGCCTGGCCCCCGATATTCCCAAATTAATACCTTCTAGTCTCTTTCATTTTCGTGCGGCCTCCTCCAGAGCCCGAACCCTGAACCTGACCCCTGAACCACAGGGGACATGGGGAACATCTTCATTGGACAGAGGATATTTAGAAGCCAGTGGTTCAACCACCCAGATTGTCCTATTTCAGCTTCCTGTGTGAGAGGCATCGGTGCCCTTTTCCAGTCGCGGGTCTTTTCTCCTTGGTGAAAAGGAAAGGAAGCAGAACACATTTTCTGAACTCTTTCCTCTGGTCGTCAGTTACCACCTGTCACACGTCTCTCTGACCCTGCCTGAGGCCCTTGCCTGGCGTAGACTTCCTCTTCTAAGTCCACGATCCCCGAGGGCCCCAGCTTCCTCTGTGTGTGTGTCTCTGCTCACTCCAGGTGGGCACGCTGGGTCTGGGGTCCGAAGGCCTGAGCTCTGTGGGCCTCTGTCACAGCCCCGTTTCCTGGGATGGGAGCTTCTGACGCAGCTACTTTCTGAAAGAGATGGGGTGTTATCATAGAATATGATTTAAAGAAAATCTGAAAGATGATACAGTCATACACATGAACCACAGAGTCACCATGGAGTGGGAGGGGACCGTGTGCCATATTTGTCTACACTGAGTGGCCAGAATATTATAATCTCTGCATGCATAATAATCTGGCCACTCAGTGTATATCCTCTATAAAAAGGGCTAATATGCAACTGTCCCCTCCATCAGGAGTCCGACCAGCAGGCAGGCCAGCCAACTGCCCATGTCCCCTCCCCCAGACTGGCTGAACCCCACCCATGCACGAATTCATGCACAGGGTCTCATATATACACCGTGTTTCCCCGAAAATAAGACATCCTCCGAAAATAAAACCTAGCACATGGAAAGATAAGACATTCCCTGAAAATAAGACCTAGCGCAACTTTGGGAGAAAAAAATTAATATAAGACACTGTCTTATTTTTGGGGAAACGGTATATACATACACACACACACACACACACACACACACTGAGTGGCCAGATTATTATGCGTTCAGAGATCATAATCATGGTAAGTGAGCCACCCACGCCCCGTTCTTGGTGTGAAGTGAGTGTGAGTGGTTAATCTGAAGGGGGTGTGTTCAGGAGGCCGCTGCCCTTGGTTGATGTTGTACCTATTCTGCTAGCGCTGGAGGCCTGCCTGGGCACAGGGAGACTCAGAGTTGTAGACAAAACCCTGTGGAGGTATGTCCTGCCACACGTGCCTGCTGGTCAGTGGAAAGGGTCTAGCTTTCCTTTGACTTAGGAAAGTTAACGGTGATAGAAAGCTTCCGTAGGAGGCGGTAGGTTTGGGAAAGCCATGTCCTGAATATATAGACTACAGTGAGTAGCTGCGCCTTTCGGTGGCTGTCTAAGTGACCTGTCTAAGAAGAGGACTGAATCATGTTTGTGACCTTTTGTAACCTTTGAAGGAATCTGAGCGGTCCGGGATGCTCTGGCTCACGTGTAAATCTGTCACAGCCGTGTCTTGCCAAAGAGCACGGTCCCTGGAAGTGAATCCCGTCTGGGGCGGCCCCCCTCCTGTCTGCTCCAGCCAATCAGCTAACGAGGCTGGCCCGGGGGCCGCAGACACTGAGACTTGTGTGTGTGTGTGTGTGTTTGTATCACGAGTTGTTTTCTTTCAGACTGAGGGACAGCGGAAGCAGTGGGTGTCTCCAGGGAGGGAATAAGCTCATTTGGTCTGTGATGCAGCTGCGGTCAAACCAGTTACACATCCGACAGACACGTTTCCTCACGGCTGTCACATTTGTTTCTGTGCGTGTACCTGTGTAACCACGGAAGGAACTGTGCGAGAGCTCTCCACGCCGCCTGTGTTCACTGTGCTACTTGGGAAATTTTCTTGTTAGAATAATTTCCTGCCCGGATCGCTTGTGAAGTCAGCGGAGTATCCAGCCTGGCGCTATGGCCCATTCCCAGAAGTCCAGGGCCAGCCGCGATGTGCCGTCCACCAATGGCGTCGCTCGGGAAAGCAGGCACTTGTTAAATCTATTTGTTTTTATGATAGACATCGATCTGCCCGTCGCAATAATGCATTTATGGGCATTTTTCTGCAAGCACAGCGCTGGTGGCAGTTTTTACTGACAAATTGAGTCGTATGGATAGCAGTTTAAGGAACTCCCGCCTTTTGGACAGATTGGGCTGTTCCCGCACCGCCTGCTCAGAGGCCTGGAGACAGGGAAGAAGGTGAGCTGCGTCTCCGGCAACGGAGGGGATTGGACGTTTCAGTGTTGAAGTGTAATCGATCAGTGGTAGTTACTTGTCATTTCTTTGAAAACTTTTAGCTACAGTTGACTCCCCAGTCAGAAGGCCAGAACGCAGGGACCACTTTCAGACGTTGACCGTCTCTGGTGTCATTCCTGAAGCCACCCCTGGACCAGGGGGCCTGTCGCTCTCCTTGGAGTGGAGTGGGCTGTCCATGAGCATAGGGGATTGGCGTCTGCGCCCTGCTGGCATCAGAATTCCCAGGGCGCTGCTGGGAAACATAGGTTATTGGCAGACCTGCCGGGTCAGGAGCTGGGAACCTGAGCCTCTGCCTGCTCCCCAGGGCGGCCTAGCTGACTCTGAGGTTCGGAGCACCTGCCTAGTGTGGCCCGGAGGTAGGGCTCTCCCCGCCGACAGGCTCCGAGCTCCCCTTCCAGAAGGATCCATGCTCAGGGGGCTGTGCGCGTGGATCTGGGTGCGTGGTTTTGTAACTCCTCGGGAACGGGTGAATCTTGGCAGATTGCAAACCGAGCATGTGAGCACAGCGTCACAGTCTTCGGGCTTGTGGTTCTGACAGAAGGTGCAGATGTTACCAGAACTTCGGCATGAGTTTGGCAAACACAGGTGAGGAAGGGACAGCCACGTTATGTTTCCCCGCCCCCATCTTCCCTTTTCTCTCCCGCTTGGTAGACATACTTTCATGGTCTGAGGTGAGGGTTCACGTCCAGCTACACACCTGGATACGTTTTTGTGTTTTCAGTGTGTAAGAGCTGGGGATGTGAGGGAAGAGCATGGAGAGGGCCTGGCGATG